TAATTCCAGTTGATACATTTGTACATTTATATATTTGACACAAAAATGTAAGTGTTACATTGATTTGCTTGAAATCGTACAAGCAAGCAAGTGAGTCCAGTACCCGTGGTACTATTTATTTAAGGTAACATTGACGTACAAAAAATGGGCAGGTTTATGTGGGTCCAAATGCAAAATAAATCTAAAACATTGAGGCCCCTACCCCTGCCTGTAGGCTAGCACATATTATTTTAAATTGACTTCTTTTCTTTCAGTTGATGCCCATATATGGACTCAAGTTGTGCGATTATACCCATATTTGGTTGATTGTATAACCTCACAATCTCCTCAAGTTACAAAGGCACTAAAAGAGGCACTCATTGAATACAAAGATCTCCTTGTTCCACCAGGTGCTTTACAAAATGGACAATAGTTGGAATGGGCTGCAATGGAAATAATTTATTTGTGATGGGATTGCATCATATATTTACTATTTAGCAGAGTTCATCTCGGTGCTCCAAATGATGAAGGTTTTTTTACACATATGAAGTCACAAGATAAAAGGTCTTGTTTTAATACATGGTTGATCAGATACCTAAAAGACTTAATCATGGATATTTAAAAGTGGTATATCATTATGATAGGCTTACTTGCATTAATATTGTTATGAAACGTAAGAATACCAGGAAATCATATCTTTAAGAGAAATGTTTCACTGAATTATGTCACCACCACCAAGAAATGGTGAAATATTGTTATTGCCTTTGTTTTTGTGACTGACATTTGCCATCAGCATTTGGCAGATGTAACAATTGTTACATTTTACGAATTTGTTATTTATTAAAAAGAGATGTTCACATTGACTTAGAATTTTTAATGTGAACACATAAACGTTTGAAGAAACATTTTTTAATATATGTTACCATGGCAACAACAAAATAGGCGACTTAAAGATTTGTATGTTACAATTGTTTCAGTTTTGTTGTAATTTATAATTACTTTCTTCAGAAGTAATGCTCATATTCACTTGAAACTCTAAGATGTTATAGGTTTAAACTTAAAATATCTGTTGTCATGGAAACAAAAAGTTATACCTTGTATAGAACTGGTTATGGCAACCAGAAGGTGACATATATTGTTATGTAAATAACTATTTACTGCATTACTGTTATTTGGATGTATATTCTGATTAAAAGAAAAGTGGTACAATTTGCACCGGGCAATATTATATACCTGTACATCAGAGATGTAATGTTCAGATGTATGTGTATTTGAACTAAGGAGATATTGTGCCTATTTTTGTACTGGACTGTGTTGTGCTCTTGTAGCCTGATAGCCCTAGGTGGACAATTAACATATCTTCTACCAGGGTACATGGTAAAATGTAATTATTTCATGTTTTCAAAAAGACAGCTGTAGTCTTGTAACCAGTCTCTGCTTTCCCTCCCCTCTCCCTTTTGATTTACCCAACCTGTGTTTGGGAGAGAGATGGGGGAATAAATTCATCAAGCTAAAAATGATGAGCAAGACTTTGCTTTGTTGTGCAGGGTATGTTGAGAGAGGGATGCATCAATGGGCAACATTTTACTTGATGGTAGATAGCAGACTAAGGCACTTGTATAGAGTAAGTCTCAAATCAGCATAAATTATCATGTACGTGTCTCAACTATTATTTGCCAATTGTAGTTTATTTTATGTTGGATGTGATGGGAATTTGATGTTATTTAAAGAATCATGTAATATATATATATACACTGTACACATGCTCATTAGTATATAAATCAATAAATTATACACTCAAAATAAAGAAATCATCTAAACGTTTTCAGAAGTTCAAATCTGACATAAACTTGATATTTGACCTTCTCAATCTCATAATGTCTCAACGAGCCATGTAAGCGTAGTGTTACGTCTTTTGACGATGCCGGGGTATATTTAACTTTTAAAAATATTTTGGATCCCATCAAAATTTTGAAGGAAAAATAATTTCACTGAAATACGAATAAAAAATACTTCAACATGATATATAAAACACATAGTAAGCTTTTTATATAAGGTAGAGATTAACGCTCAAAGCTGAGATCAGCCTGTATTTCCCGAAATTGTCCCCAGGTCCGTGTACGTCATAAATATCTTTCAAATGCTGATGCTAGGCAGATGATGTAGGGACAATTGAACTCTGCTCAAGAAGAATTTTCAAGAGTGCAACTTAATTTCAAAATAGCCGCCATTTTTTGTAAAAATGTAATCTTCAAAAACTGTTGACAGAATCTTGGTTCAAATTTCACATGCTAACGCGTTATGGACATACATGTAGGACTCTGTTTTTCAAGATAACTGCTCATTTAAAAATGGCTTCCATTGTTCATGGAAATGTAATTTTTACAAGTTATAGGATTTGGTGCAAATTGCTAAGTATTCTTAGTGTTTTTATCGTACCTAACAAGAGGTACGATATTGTAGTCAGCTTGACGGGCGGCGGGCGGCGTCTCACTTTTCAGCTTGTCTACAGGTTTCCAGCCAAACCATTTGAGGGATTCATCTGAAATTTTCAGGGATGTTTCTACATATTAAAGTCAAGAACTGATTAGTTTTTGGGAATTCTGGGTAAATTTTAAGGTGGCCATTTTGGATTTTCCGTCCTAAAATCTTCACTTTCAAGACTTGTCTACAGGTTTTCAGCCAAACCATTTGAGGGATTCATCTGAAATTTTCAGGGATGTTTCTACATATCAACGTCAAGAACTGATTAGTTTTTGGGCATTCTGGTTAAATTTTAAGGTGGCCATTTTGGATTTTCTGTCCTAAAATCTTCACTTTCAAGACTTGTCTACAGATTTTCAGCCAAACCATTTGAGGGATATATCTGAAATTTTCAGGGATGTTTCTACATATCAACGTCAAGAACTGATTGGTTTTTGGTCATTCTTGGTAAATTTTAAGGTGGCCATTTTGGATTTTCCGTCCTAAAATCTTCACTTTCAAGACTTGTCTACAGGTTTTCAGCCAAACCATTTGAGGGATTCATCTGAAATTTTCAGGGATGTTTCCACATATCAACGTCAAGAATTGATTAGTTTTTGGGCATTCTGGTTAAATTTTAAGGTGGCCATTTTGGATTTTCTGTCCTAAAATCTTCACTTTCAAGACTTGTCTACAGATTTTCAGCCAAACCATTTGAGGGATATATCTGAAATTTTTAGGGATCTTTCTACATATCAACGTCAAGAACTGATTGGTTTTTGGGCATTCTTGGTAAATTTTAAGGTGGCCATTTTGGATTTTCCGTCCTAAAATCTTCACTTTCAAGACTTGTCTACAGGTTTCCAGCCAAACCATTTGAGGGATTCATCTGAAATTTTCAGGGATGTTTCTACATATCAACGTCAAGAACTGATTAGTTTTTGGGCATTCTGGGTAAATATTAAGGCTGCCATTTTCGATTTTCCGTAATAAAATCTTGTCAATCGAGGCTTGTCTACAGGTTTCCAGCCAAACCGTTCAAATTTTTACATATGTTACACAGTGATAAGTTCTAGAGCTGATTAACTTGTCTGCGGCCATCTTGCTTTCTTGGTCAACAAGACCACAATGCTGTGTTTTAGGTACGATATTGTTCACGTCTGTGCCTTGTTATGAAAAATAGCATGCTCCGTCACAGCGGACAAATATTTCAATACCAGCCTGTGAGGTAGGTCAAAGTTGAATATTACACTGTTCGCACTTTCGAAACTTATTCCAGTGGCTCTATTTTACGATTGTGGACTGCAAGTGAACGTTATAATAAATTCTATACCATATCAACTAATATTTGTGTTGCCAACTTTTTCAACTGAGCGTGTAAACATAACTTTAGAGAATTGGCATGCTCAGAAATCCCGTTAACATTACATGATTTTCATCGTTTTCGTAATTGCTGCACTTCTTAGCCCATTCATTTACGTAACTTAAGTGAGGAAGTATATTGATAATTTTGCAGTCTTACAAGGAAATACGTTCGCGAAAGCTTTTATTTTCTAAAACCTAAGACTGACACACGTTTGTGCAAAAAAGGTAGTGGTGATTCTGCTTATATCTCGTGAAACCATGGAAAACAAAAACGTATCGAAATCGTTTACCATTTTGTTACAAAAACGGATCCGTTTACGTAACTCGTTTTACGAGTTCCTCAACAGTGAACAAGTTGGAGCAACTAAAACGTTGTTATAACCACTTGGAATTCGAACATGCAAAGTGCGGGTTTCTGCGAATAAGCAGCTTTTCAGATAAAAATATGTGAAAAATTTGAAAGGACGATTCTCGGTTTGGAGAAGAGTCTCCTGGGCTAATAATTTGTTTCACGAAAAATATAGAAATATTACCCAAATTAAACTATGAATATTCAAAAGAGGACATTTAAATCTACAAGATGTAAAAATAACAAATTGGTCTGAAGCAGGGATAACGCTCAATTAGACCGATTCAATAAAATACAAGTCTCGATTTGGGGAAAGAAGTTCATCAGTGTACTGCGCTAATATTTTTTTTGCGAAAAATCTAAAAATATTACCCAAATTAAATTATGACTATTCAAAAGAAGACATTCAAATCTATATTATGTAAAAAAATCAAATTTGTCCGAAGCAGGGATAATGCTCATTTAGATTGATGAACTTCGTTCTCCAAACCGAAAATCGTCCTTTCTTATAAAAACGACGTGCTCCGTCGTATTGACCAAATTAGGCGATGACATCCCGCGCTCATAACGTTTTGTAACTTCTTTTTAAAAAAGTAGCAATGACATACATTTTGAAATGGAACATGTAAAATATGACCTAAATGTATATATTAGGCTTACAAAAATTCAGCATAAGAGGCCTGAACAAAAAAATGATCGATGGACTAAATTGAATGACTTTTTCTGTTTTCATGTCAGTATGTAAGGAGGGTAAATAGAGTTGTCTGAGTGATCTGCGTTTTTGATATTGATTTGAGTTCTTTATATACATAAAGATAGGGTCGCTTCCAGTCTGTCGAATTCACTTGGTTGTTCAGGCCGCTAGTAATACAAATTGGAGTCTATTTGTGTTAATTATAAAAAGGTGATGCTGATTTTACTCATAGTTATGCTCCTTGGAATCGCCCAGGCGCAGATTGACCCACAAAAGAAAGAAGATATAGACACATTCGTGGAAGAGATCATTCAATGCAGAGGAAAAGTTGGGATGAATCTTGCGATTGTGCAGGATGGTACACCTTTGTATACAACTGGGTATGGCTACGCGGACCTGGAGAACGAAGTACCTGACGATGGGGCTACTATACATGCAATATATTCTATCTCCAAGTCATTTGCTGTGACATTGTTTGCAACTGTGATAGAAGAAACGGAGTAAGACTTTAGTGCGAAATGGTTCTGTTTTTTTTGTATTGACCCAAAACAAAAAGTTTTTTCTATGCGACCACCAGGAAGTTGTGTAACTTATAGTTATTTTGTGATTGGTTCGGCGTTGGCAGTACGTGTCGGTGCGGTGGTGTCGTTGTCTGTCACAATTGTCATTTTAATGCTGTTATAGAGTTGCATTCGGTGAACAACTGATTTGTTAACAGTAAAATAGATAGGTCTTTAAAATTGAACCTTTTTAATTATTTAATTATTCAATATACTTCAGAATATCATGGGAATCGTTGATCGCAGATCTGTTACCGAACTTCCGGTTTCCAGATGAAGAACGGAACAAAGGGTTAAAGTTGAAAGACCTGCTCGGCCACGTAACTGGAATTCCTGAGGGCTTAAATGCCCCTTATGATTCGAAAGCACAATTCTTAGAGTAAGTCGAAACACAATATTAGAAAATCATGAAACAGCCCAGAACCATCAGTGTCAAGATCTAGGGGAAAGAAAGTATGCCATTTTAAAGTAAGGACGTGTCGCAAAAAGGTCGCGCACGCATTGTTACACATTTTCGCTTTTTAACACCACAGAATGTGACGTTTTTTGAGAAAAATGGACATATATGGAAAAATTTTCGTCCTCCACATTTGCCTCTATATCTCAAAATATTTAAGGCGAATAACTCTGATATCGTATATGTATTAACAACACAAATCAATTGATATTCTAGGTGAAATAAATATACGTGTTGCTGTGCTTGAAAATAGGCGAATGGCGTAAATTAGCCCTATTTTAATGAATTTTGAAAACCTTTCGTCCTCCACTTTTCCACATACAACAGAAAACACATCCTTTTGCGAACAAAATCAACCATTTATTAATAAACTAAAGTTTAAGAGCAAAATAATCATGTATGATTTATTAAAAATTTATCTCATACTTTTTTGTTTAATGTACAGCTTAAAAGTTGAAGGTAACAAAAGATGAGCAAAAAAGGTCGCTGTCAACAGATTCTATTTTTCAAACTCTATGACGTCACAATATGGGACGCTTACTGAAATTCATCCTTTGAAATAAAACTTCCATCTACCTTTATCAAGACGAAAAATAAGTTTAATAGTCATATATTGTAATGACTATATTTGAAAAATAATTCAAAATGTAACGCGCAAGAATCGTGAACGGAGTGTAGTTGATCTAAAAACTTCATCGAAACAGCTTTAAAATGATATATAACTTTAATTAGAATATTATCTTATAATCCGGGTAATCAAATTTACATTCACGCGATACCCTTAAAAACAAATGCGCCACCTTTTTTCGACACGTCAAGGGTCTTACTTTTTGGACATTGTTTTTTTAGGAACTAGAATTATAAGAGGTATTTTTAAAACACTTACTTCGCCCAGTTTTACTTATTTTGTAGGACTTTGATTTTTAAATGCTATAAAACTAAGCGAAATAAAACTAGAAACCTTAATTTAAAGTCCGTATATCATGACATATATGTTTCAGAGCGACAGTATCTGAAAAGGAACTGAACATTCTCATGATTCTGTGCTTCCGCTTTTCCAGCAATTCCAATATTACATAGAATGAAGTTTAGTTGTATAAATGTTAGTCATTTTGATTTAGCGTGGTACAGTGTCAAGATCCAGTGATGGGGATGCGAGAGAGTTTTTGTTATGTTGACAAAAATTATTACATTGCTGGAGCGATCCTTGAACATCTGACGAACCAAACCTTTTCCCAGTTGATGCAAGATCGAATATTAACCCCATTGCAGATGAACTCGACACTACCCTCCCTCGCACAACGGTTCAACGAGTCCATAGGCAAATGGGCTTATGGTTATCGTTTAACAAACGGGGAGCTTGTGAGTTTCAGAACACCTGGAAAGAAAGGTGAAATCACGTAAGCATGTTTGAGTATATTTGTATTTGATATTTTATTTTTAGGTTGACTAAACTTCAAAAAAATGTGACGCTTGTCGTTTTTGACGTTGTTTTTGACATGTAGTTATCGGCCAATTTTTGTGACCAGCGTTGGCGTTCCGCGTATGTCACAAATTGGTAACACCAAGAAACCATTTCAGCTGATATATATATTGTATTGTAATGCATTGCAATAATATATTTGTAGAGAAACGTTAGAAGCGGCAGCAATGGGGGTACTGACTACAGCAGAAGACATGGCGAAGTACACGACGTTTCACCTTGGGGCGTATAGAAATGACGGATCCTTCAATCCAGTTGTGGACCCTGAGATATTGAGAAAAATGTACCACCCAAACCAAGCCATAAATTTTTTCACATCGTTCCTTGAGATTGATGGCCTAGATGATATTGATGAAACGTGGAGAGTCTATGACTATGGGATGGGATTTTGGAGTGGGAATTTTAGAGGTGAGTGCATGGAGCAAACTTAATGTTCATTTTAAAGCATCTATTTTTGTATTGTATTGGTGTAAACTTCAATTTATAATTATCAATAAATTGAAGTCGTCAGTTCTTCATCCTCCGATCACAGGGCTTCAAAATCCAGAATATATTCTTTCTTTTTACCCCCTGCTATAAGCAGTTAGCATTTCCCCGATTAAGAACTCGCAATCTGATTGGCTGTCGCAACACTAGAGATAAGAGGAGGGAAAGCCCCAGAGTTTAAGGATGACAGACATAGTTACCTCTCTTGCGTACCACCTTCGTTCGTTCGAATTTTCATCGGCTAGTTATCAAATACTACACTTCGATGGGATGTTTTATATATTCCGTACACCTTTCTTTATCTTGATGTGAAATGAGAAACTGTGATATTGGTTAACACGCCAGAAATAAACATAATATTATTCGAAGCGTATTTCGAAAATTTTAAAACCGCCATTGATGACGTCATTTGTTTGTCGACTTTTGACCAATCAGCGACGATGTCATCTCAATACAGATTTACATTATAAGCGTATGTCATCTTTGAACCCTGGTGTTTCTCCCCCTCTGACTAGAGATCATGTATAAGTCACTGCGCATAATTAGATAACGTGATTCAGTTAAATCGGGCGCTTCCAAATTGGTTATAGCAGGGGGAAAAAGGAGGTACGGATTCTGGACACCTGCTTCAGGGGCGGACCCAGGTACCAACAAGGGGGGGGGCCCAAATTTCAGGTCAGAGAAAAAACGTCCGCGCTTGCGCGAAAAAAAATTTTGGGCCCCTAAAATCCAAAAGTGGGCCCAAATTTTGAAATTTTGAGGCCCATTTTCTTCAAAATTTGGCCTGAAATTAACAAATAAGGCCTTAAAAGGCCCAGTAATGACCAAAAAGGCCCACTTTTTGGGGCCTGAAGGCCTTGTTTGGCCCAAAAAAATTTTTGGGCCCAATTTTTTTTTTCTGGGCCCACCCAAGGGGGGGGGGCCCGGGCCCCTGGGCCCCCCCCCTAATCCGCCAGTGTGCTTAGGAGGATGCAGTTCTTGGGCATTTGTATCTGCATCCTTCATCATCCAGGTTCGTTGTTTCGTTGACGTAAGAAGTGAAATCCTCTTGTACTTTACAAAAATTTGCAAATACCCAATGTGAATATTTTGGTAAGGCCGTAAGAATTAGTTTCTTTGTTTTGCGTCCCCTTGCTTGCATGATTTTGAGTAAATCAGAAAAAACAAACACATCCAAATAGCAACCACAAGGGTCTGAAAGTAACATCGCATTTCATTCAATCAGAATCAGATGAAATGGCGGATAAATTGATGTGCGCCAAAATTGACAGTGTTATTGATTACTTGGGCATACATTGTGTATTTTTTTTATTTTTACCCTTGAATAATACCTATATTTAAAAATATATTGTATAAATGTATAGATCTGTGTTTGTCTCACTGCAAATTGGTATGTCATTCCTTTTAATGCCCATAAAATGTATACATTTCTCAGCAAACAAGTTTGTGTTTTTTTTTTGAGTTTGTGTTTGTTTTCCTTGTACCCTTGCATGATTTGGATTTTGCCAGGACGCAAAACAGAGAATCTAATTCTTATGGCCTAATGATGCATTTCAGAGAGTGACTTCATACAACATGGCGGCATTGGTTACCATGATAGTTTGTTAACAATGTTCAAACAATGGAATCTAGGCATCTACACTTCGATGAATGGACCTAATGGAATCGATGCACACGCAACAATTACATTGATTCACTTTTACATCGCTGACGTCCTCCGTGGGAACACCCCCGTCTATGATATCAGTTACGCTTGCGATTTCACACTTCCCGAAAAACATGGCACATTTTGTGGACCTTTTAACATACATCCAGATCATCGTATCAATAAGACCAGAACTCCAACCTTCTCAATTGAGTCCTACACTGGGTTATATGAAGACCGAAGTGCCAAGTTCAAAATAAAAGTTGATCCGAATACCGCTACCTTGGTGATGGCAAAAGGTTGCGAAGAATACCATCTCTACCCCAGTGGTGCGCCTCATGCGTTTGTGGCCCAATCCACAGGGGAGTGTTTTGGATGTACAAAGCGAATTGTTTTCAACGTTTCTCATGAAGCTCGATTAATCGTTGATTTTTCAAGTGTAAACATAGATGGAGATGATTTCCGCAATGCCAAAACGAGACGAACCTTCGGGCGTCGGCCAGACGTATGAGATACCATTAGCAAATGAAGTCCATCACTCGGATGTGTGTTTTTCATTGATAACTCTAGTTATTCTACAAGCTTAATAATCATTATTATGATATCGGCCCAGTGTAAAAGTGAGCTTTGTCTGTTTTTAATGTCCCCTTACATTCCCATACTGTTCTAATTCGGCTTATTAGTCATACGTACACAGTTGTGGTCAGGTAGATACCCGGGGGTAGATACTACTTAAAGGGATCCAACACCTTACAAAACTTCTTAACGGAGAGGAATAAGGGAAAATGCTTGCCGGATTCTGAATCTGTGTATTTTTTAATGATTTTTCACCGTCTTAGAATTTCAATTTTTTTCCTTTGAAAAAATGAGATTTGCATTGTTTTCCATTTCGAAAAATGAATAAACATGAATAGCTCGAAATCTAACGGTGAGATTTTGTTTTAAAAAATCATGGATATCAAGGCTAAATATAGCTATACACTCAACATTAAAAAGCAATGCTTGGACTCTTCATATTCACACAAAAAATTAATTAGTAAATGAGGTTTGATATTTGTGAGAATAAGTTGTACGAGGTGCAATGCTCTACAAACACCAGACTACAGGGTGGATTAGGATCAATGACACACATAAAAATTTATTTTAAAAATATTTCATGATAACTATCTCAAACAAAAGCAGTTGGCGAAGGATACGTTTCATTACACTCAATGAATAGTTATCACTTTTGACTATATATACATATCTCATGGGAATGTATTTCCATCTACTCAAGATATTATATTTTAGCTTCGAAAGTCACAATCGTTGGATAATACATTTGTCTCAGAATGATAGGCCACCCTGTAGCAATGTAGCTTTCACTTGAAGTGTACCCTTGAGAATAATGAACTTACTTTCAAATTGGTCTTGCTTTTGTGGTGTATGTGGCTTTTTAGCAAATCTGCCACGCTCATTTCTTTCCAGAACCATCATCTTGTTCAAATGTATCACTATACGCGCATATATTTATATTTTCATAGTTAGTTTAACATGAATAATAGATCCATGAGAACAATATTCTTTGTTTTTTTAAATCGATGGGTTTACTGTGAATTCAATAAATTACAATTTGCAAGGGGTAAGTATACTGTATGAGCTGGCTAGTGGCTTTGTATTTTATGTTAGGCCAGGGTAATTAAATTAGTTGTTTCTCTTTCTTCTATTTTTCAAAATTGATACGGGAATGACGGTTTTTATATTACCTTTTTTGTCTATCTAAAATGCTGATGAGGGACGGGATGATTTTTTTCTTTAAAACAAGTGCGTGATAGAGGGGTTGCCATTTTAGTAAAGGGTGTAAGTACGTTTTTGTGCTTGATACAGGGTATATTTAATGGAAAAGGTTAAATTATGATGAGGAATTATTGGTGTCTATCATATATTTAAGAACTGCCATCTATATATGAATATAAAGTTTAAATAACTAACGTGAACAAAAGATTAATGAGATTCTGATTGTCAGGTTCTGAGAATGCTGCTGCCATCTTTGAATAAACTCTAAATTATCAATGATATAATTATAATCTATTGTGATAACGAACACCTACCAATCTGAATGCTTTTAACTGCACGGTGGCATTTGGATTAGAAAGGTTTTACTGTATAATTAATATAGTAGTAATACTGAAATTCAAAAAAATCTGAAGGCCTAGTCAATCTATTTTGGGAAATATTCTCAGCTATTTGAAATGAAGACCAACTTTGTAAGAAGTCTCTATAATTATTTTTTAATTTATACAATAACATTATACTCAACTTTAGTTCAAATTCCAATGCTCTGGCCTTGGCTAATCAAAACAGTTCATTGCAATTGTTTCATCAATTATTATATTATTATATTAATATATCATAATTATTTCACATGCAAATACTGTACTGCCACTAATATTTGATGCTGTTATCTTTCACAATTTTTCAATTTTGAAATTTTGCGGATATCAATTTTCGCTAATTATAATTTTTTATAATTTTGTATATATTTCTTTCACCATCATATCATTCCTCAAAACAATTTCCAGCTTATTTGATTAAATGTTTTTAAAACCAAGAAATATGAATGAAACAGTACCTTCTTACCTTTAATTATTGCTATACCATGTACTTAAAGCCTTTACATGACACCTATCAGCTATCACCCGCTTCAAAAGCACAGGTGAAACTCAACTATTGAAATCAAGAGCTCACTTTAAATTTTTTTTTCTGTTTGGGAAAATCTGTTAGTTATCAACTGCATTTTTGTCAGTCAAGATTTCTCTTCATCAAACCAAATCAAATCCAAAGAATGATTAGTTCCATAGTGTAAACATATACAACTTTGAACAATATTGGTATCAGCCATTATGTTACATTAAAAAAACACAGAATGTAAAAGACTTTCATGTAAGCAGGAAATTGCTTGAAAGAATACTAAAGGTTTCGCAACAGAATTTAGACGGTCATATGTTGAATTGCAGAAATTTTCTGAAAATGTAAGGTGTGTATGTTAGGCCAATGCATTATCTAAAGGAAAAGTACTCATAGAGATGATAAAAAAAATTGGTGATTGAGACAGGGAAGGTGCAAAGACCCCATCAACATTTTATTTCAAAAATGTTTTCCTGATTTTCAGTTCCTTCCCCTTTTTTATAATGTTTTCACATTAATATGTTGCATTTGTAGACAAAGTTAACATACTAAAGAGAAAATATTTTCCTTTTAAGAGTTTATTTGTGTCTCCAAATGCAACATACTGATGCATAAAACATTTATAAAAATTGAGTAGAAGGGGAAATTTTAAATTCAGCGAACATATAGGTCCACTGAGCATTTATTTTGCACAGGGCCTTTATTAGAAAGAACTCAAAATAAATGCCATTGGCTTTTATTAAGACTAAGAGGGAAATTGAAAACATTTTCCAAGGGTACAGGCATTTATTAAGAGGGAAAATAGCTTTCCCAAGCCAGTGGGTGTTTTTTCGAGGCGTATTATCAATCGAAGAGTTGACACATGGCCTTCATATACTCATGCAATAGTATCTATCATCTCTGATTGCACACTTCTGTTTTACCTTTCAAGCATTCGATTTGGATTTTGGAATGTCATAAAGCTATGCGGTCAAAAGTAATCTTGATACTTTTTAGTGAAAATGCATTTATATTTTTAAAATGCAGAATCTTGCGAATGCAAAAACCTCGAAATCCGATCACCTCCACATCTGAATGTTTTTATTCCACCGAACGAAGTTCGTGAGGGATATAGGAAAGCCGTCCGTCCGTCCGTTCGTCCGTCCGTTCGTGTGTCCGGGCAATAACTCAAATACCGGTTGACGGATTTCATTCAAATTTTATAGACTTATGCCTTATGGGTGCAGGACCTCTGCTCGAGAAGGAATTTTCAATATGGCCGCTTAATTCAAAATGGCGGCCATTTTTTGGAAAAAATATAATCTTTAATAACTCAAATACTAGTGGATGGATTTGGTTCAAATTTTATATGCTGTTGCCTGGGTACAAAGGAGCCTTGCTCAAGAAGACATTTTCAAGATGGCCGCCAAATTTCAAAATGGCGGCCATTTTCGTAAAAACGTTATATTTGATAACTCAAATACCATTGAATGGATTTGGTTCAAATTTTAGATGCTGATGCTTAGGGACATAGGAGCTCTGCTCGAGAAAGGATTTTCAAGATGGCAGCTAAATTTCAAAATAGCAGCCATTTTTCATAAAACAACGTTATCTTTGATAACTTAAATACCATTGAATGGATTTGGTTTAAATTTTAGAAGCTGATGCCTAGGGACATAGGAGCTCTGCTCGAGAAAGGATTTTTAAGATGGCAGCTAAATTTCAAAATGGCGGCCATTTTTTGTAAAAAAACATTATCTTTGATAACTCAATTACCATTGAATGGATTTGGTTCAAATTTTACATGATGATACCTAGGGAGACAGGAGCTCTGCTCGAGAAGGGAATTTCAAGGTGGTAGCTAAATTTCAAAATGGCCGCCATTTTTCATAAAAGAACGTAACCTTTGATAACTCAAATACCAAATGACGGATTTGGTTCAAATTCTATATGCTGATGCCTAGAGACAAAGAAGTTCTGCTCAAAAATAAATTTTCAAGATGGCCACTGAATTTCAAAATGGCCTCCATTTTTCGTAAAAAACGTAATTAATGATAACTCAAATACCAGTGGATGGATTTGGTTCCAATTTTATATGCTGATGTTTAGGGAAAAAGGAGATCTGTTTCAGAAGAAATTTCAAAGGCATTACCTGAATTTCAAAATGGCTGCCATTTTTCATTTAAAAAGTAATCTTTGATAACCCAAATACCATTGGATGGACATTCTCTGCTAAAGAAAAAGTCTAAAGATGACAGCTGAATTTCAAAATGGCAACCATGTTTCATAAAAACATAATTTTTGATAATTCAAATACCAGTGGATGAATTTGGCTCAAATTTTTTATCAAAACAAATTTTGTTCGGTGGGATTTGCTACTCCGTTGAGTTGCTGTTTTTCTAGTTTTCATTTTTCTCATTTCCATGCTAATTATACGAGAATAAGACGGCTTCTTGGTGACGCCAGAAGCCGGCTTCTGATGTACTGTAGAAGCCGGCTTTAAAAGCCGGTTTTGAAAGCCGGCTTTGTATATTTGCCTTCGACTCTTTCTCGTCAAATCAAAGAAAGATGGCAGGTTAAGCAGTTGCACTGCTCTCACTGCTAAAAATGAATAATTTGAGTATCAAAAATATGTGTGTGACACAAAATGACACAATATGTGTATAATACCATTACATTATAGAATAAATTGGGTTTAGTAAAGTGTAAAGTCATTGAGTCATATTAATTAGTATACACAAACTCTTCATGTTGACATCGAGTAAATCACTTAGATTTTAATTCTCATTTTACAACATACTTATGATACTTTCTGAATGATCATATATCCAATAACTGGAAATAAGTCCACTCAAAACTATTGTTAAACTATTTCCAATATTTAAATATGTGAAATCAAAGTCAGATTAATTCTCCAAGGTCGAAGCGCTTGATTGCCCCAGATTCCATTTTCGCCAAAATTTTCCCATTCGACGACCAAGCACTCTGAACGCCTGTGCTCACCTTAACCTGCTCAAGGAGCTGCCTGTTGAGGGGGCTCAAGTCCTCAAAAATAAGAATGCAGAATAAGATCGTCACACGCCTAAGCATCGCTTAAGCAGGCGTCACATATACATATTCTCATAAAAATAATCCATACTCTCAGACGGTAGGGAAAATAATAGCCAAACAAAATGTGAAAAAACAACCTTTTTTCACTCTGGTCGATTATGTGGGCCGATTCACTCAGAAAAAATCCGAACAGTGCTCGTAAACCGTTTATCATAATCAGAAAGTTAAAACCATTTCTAAGAGAATGCTGTTTTTATTTCACATGAAATCGTATTAGTTTTCATCAAATAAATTTGTTAAAACCCTTGTCATAGTTTTTGCTTCAAAGCAGTTAATTTGCGTTACCGTACAGAAAACTGTACTCCGCTATTTTTTGACGCTGTACGGTGACGCCTGCTTACGCGATGGTAAGGCGTGCGTCAACGTAAACAAAAGCGAGGGACTAAATATGTGAATTGCGTCTTCGTTAATATACCAAACATAGAACCGCCTGCATATTCTCAAACTAGAGAGATTTCGCACATACGTGAAAGTATAACTTATAACGTATACTTATACTTATATAAAGTAAACGTACAAGGTGTTTCATAATGTGGGCTTTTCGTCAGGAAAGATCTTCTCGGACTGTAATAAATAAAGGTCAAAGGGATGCCATTTGTACTTTCTTGAATTTTAGCATGTTTATATTAATTGATCCAAATGTGTTTGTCTAGAATAAAATAGGCTCATATATAGTGCATATGTTATAGACCCATCTCTTCTCAAATTGACTTTTTGGAGATGCTCGTTATGAAACACCCATTATGTCATTTGTTGAGCTACTGAATGGGTCGTTTCCAGGTATTGCTAGAACCTACTGGTTTGATTGGTGTTTCAAATTGATGGTTAAAAAAGCAAAAGCTTACATTTTCTGAAGCATAAGGCCATGAGTTACATTTGTGCCAAAAAGGTAATACTAATTTTGCCTATATCTCACGGAATCATGGAGAAAAAAATTATCGAATAACGGTCGAGCCATTTTGTTACGAAAACAGTTCCGTTTTCGTAACTCGTTTTTTGAGTTCCTCCACAGTGAATAAAAAGATGTCAGTAAAAACTGCACATCTGGTTTATACACCAAGCAGTTGAACTAATTGGACCTTCCATTTGTTTCTGTTTTAATAAATCATACTAATAAATATTATCTTACACGCCTAGTATTTCTTGCTCTGATCATTGCTTGACAGTGTGAATAATTTTCCACCAAAATACTTTAAAGGTTATTGGTCTATCTGGAATTGTAACACAAAATGAATATGTAGACTGTATGAAACCATCAAGACAATAGAAACATTCATGGGGATGTTCGAGACAAAATAACGTTTTGTGCCAGGGATATGTTACAGAGAATACTTTCAATAATCATTTTTTGTGCTGTTGCTATGGACACAAATGTGGTAAAGTGGAAACAACAAAATGATCAGGCTCCTGAAGACAGTGATAAAAACAGATGCTTGGGCATCTCTTGTAGGACATATGAAGATACAAAAGCCGAAATTGTTAGGTTGCTATGGCGACTAGAACTGATGGAGGAATGTTGTATTGACAGGTTTGTAATTCAGGCGAGACCTAGGACGATTCATGAACTCCTAAAATCACTGATTCCATCGTATGATGACACCGATACAGCCAATGTCAATAACCATTGCAACCATGACAACCATAAACATGATAAATCGAATGGTAAGTTGCACGAGTAGTATTGTCTTGTTAATCCTCATTAAACCATCATGATAAACCAAGGGCTTATTTAATACCCGGGGCTTAAATTGTGTACCAAACGAAACGACACGATCCGGGCTTCATATGATCTGCAAATGGTGTATAGAGGGGTCAGTTTTCTCAGACCTAGGTACCTTTTTCTGTACCGTTTTTCGGTTATTTTACTCTATGGCATGGCAATCCAGGCCCGTAGCCAGGGGGGGGCTCGTACGAGCCCCCCCCCCCTGATATCTCCTAAAAAAATGTGGACCTACCTTTTTGCTTCCTTGAAGAAAAACTTCCTCTTCCCCACATTTACTGGGCAATTAAGATTAAAAAACTGGCATTACTGTGCATTGTTTTTCGAATTTGGGCATAATTTTTCAAAATTTGGCCCATTTTTTCGCGGACATATTTGTGCCCCTTTCCCTCTGTTTTTGAGGATCGTCCTTTGTGTTCTGTTAAACATAGCCTTCTGGCCGCCCCCCCCCTAGGATGGGCCCTGAAAAGAATGTTGGCCCAAAAATATTGTAGGACCTCTTAAATGGGCCTTTTGGGCATTACTTGACCTTTGGGGCCTTATTTTTAAATTTCAGGCCAAATTTTTTAAAAACAGGCTATAGATCTTCAATCTTCAATCTTCAAAATTTAGGCCCAAATTTTGGTTCTAGGGGCCTGAAAGGTTTTCCGCACGGCCATAGGATGGGCCCAGAAAAAATGTCGGCCCAAAAATATTGCAGGGCCTCTTTAGGGGGCCTCTTTGAGCATAAATTGACCTCTTTGGGCTTTATTTTTTCAATTTAAGGCCAAATTTTCAAAAAACGGGCCATAAATTTTCAGAATTTTCGCCCAAATTTTAGTTTTAGGGCCCTATCAACTTTAAGCGCGGCCTAGGATGGGCCTAGAAAAGAATGTTGGGCCAAAAATATTGTAGGGCTACTTGACCTTTTTGGGCCTTATTTTTTTAAATTTTAGGCCAAATTTTCAAAAAATGGGCCATAAATTTTCCAAATTTTGGTTCTAGGGCCCTAAAAGGTTATCCGCGTGGCCATAGGATGGGCCCAGAAAGAAATGTTGGCCCAAAAATAGTGTAGGGCTACTTTAGTGGGCCTTTTTGGGCATTACTTGACCTTTTTGGGCCCTATTTTTTTCAATTTTAGGCCAAATTTTCAAAGAATGGGCCATAAATTTTCAGAATTTTGGCCCAAATTTTGGTTTTAGGGCCCTAAAAAATTTTCTGCGCTGCCCTAGGATGGGCCCAGAAAAAATGTTGGCCCAAATTTATTGTAGGGCCTCTTTAGTGGTCCTTTTTGTTGGGCATTACTTGACCTTTTTGGGCCTTATTTTTTCAATGTTAGGCCAAATTTTCAAAAGATTTTCTAATTTTTGGTCCAAATTTTGGTTTTAGGGCCCTAAAAAGTTTTTCCGCGGATATTTTTTCCTGTCTTGAAGTGCGAGCCAGTGTGGGTCCCCCCTTGTTAGCTTCCGGATCTGCCACTGTCCTTTACAATACAAAGGGGCTTTGTTTAGCATGGGGATTTTTTTTTTTGGGGGGGGGTGTTGCGGGGGGGTTCGAGCCCCCCCCCCCCCCCCCCCCCCCTTACAAAAAGCTGACTACGGGCATGGAATCCGTTCACATCATTAGCTACATAATTGATTAACTCAAATATATGATATGTAAATAAGGATTAATACGAACATAATAAACAGGGAAATGTACTTGAAGTGGCGATTGTGTTTCCTGTCCGTCAGTGTTACCCCCCTTACCCAGGTCTATAGCGTGGTATAAGGTAACCTGATTATGCAAATAAAAATACCCCGTTGGTTTCCCGTCAGAACAATCAAAACGGACGCGGACAATCTTTTCGTGACCAGAAATTCACTAAACTATAGGAAATATGCTAAGCTATAAGGATGGATTGATTTTACTTACCAATCACTAACATGAGCTGGGATATTCAGCTCTGGACTTCATGTCCAAAGGGGGGTAACACACATCGTCAGAATCAAATTCGCCCTTGGATAAACCATGACATTTCATTTCTTCTCAGCCAAGTGAAACGGAAAGATGTGATGAGTATCAGAATAGTGTTTTGGTATAATAGAACGATGTAGCGAGTATCAGAATGTTTCCATGAGTACGAAATGATGACACATTAATGTTAAAAAAATATTACCCAAAATATATGTAGATTTAGTCACAGGCATAGAGTATCATAATTGCCGGATGGACGCCTCCTTTTTCTGTTGTTCATAGCTCCGTATCAATAAAATACATCTGGTTCACTCATATCCTGGGCTGATGATGTCTTCATCAGATTCTGATGACTTTTTCCTCATCAACTATAGCTAGTTCAGATTTTATTAAAGAACAATGAACTATTGTAATATCCTCTTGGCTTTATAAAGGAATTCAATTAAAGCATTTTATAACATTTTTAAAAAATGAAACATGTCTTGGGACAAAGAGCTGTTTTTATCATAATATTAATGTGCACAGTTGCTATAGTAACAAATGTGAACGCTACACAGAATGAACGAGTTACTTATGAGGATGATATGAAAGTGGTCGAGTCTTGCAAAACTGCTGAATCGACAACATCAATGATAAGTCAGTTACTAAGGCAATTTGGGGAAGTTGAGAAATGTTCAATTGACGGAGAGAATCTTAACCAGACACGGTTAAATACGATTCGCGATATGATAAGAACACTTTTTCCAAACCAAATGAGCCATGGGGACCAAAAGGATAGTCATGCAAAGAAGAATACGAACGGTGAGTGACGATAACCCATAATTTATCTTAGAAATAAAGGCACTTTCCAGTTATCTCTGAGGCTGTTAACCTTTAATTTAAAGACCATGAAATCTAACCAAAATGATAACTCCGTGTGAAAATGATACCAAAAAGCCCATTAGCTGACTTCAGCAGCAAATTGATATCGAATAAATATTTTGATGGACTGACCACAATCTCAATAAATTGTTTTGGTTGAACCCACCTAACGAGTGTCCTTGTATCATAATCTTTCAACGCAGTCTGGATTAGTGTCTAGTTTTACCGCAAGTTAATCCAAGGGCTAGCTACAGTAGCAAGGGTCATAGGACTCCAGTGGCAAATGGTGACTCATACGAATGTGATTTTAATATAAACCACATCATTAACGCTATAATTACAATTTAATTATAGTCTCTAAGCATTGTTTTGTTTAGAGTCAACACAAGACAACACTAAGTTATTTTAAGATTAAAGGGGCATACAGTATTCCAGTATACGTGTTTCCATATTCCATAAACTTAATTCGCACCAATCCTGATCAGTTCCATAAGTGATGAGTTCCATACAGTGATTAAAGGTCATACTCACAATCATGAGGAATATGCGATCATAAAATAACCTATAAATAATAAACGAAAACATTTAACAGATAGATAAATATCAATAGATTTTCAATCACACAGGTACACCCTATGCAGACAGAGCCTGTGGGAAATCTTGGGTGCGGCGCAAATGAGCGGAGGGTGCGGAGCTAACGGTCATTTTTGAATTTAAAATTGGGATATTTCTGAAACTAAGCCGTTTTGGGACTTCAAATATACCAAGATATGTGTATTTGACACCAAATATCAATAAAATTGTCAAAATAGTAGTGCAATTCATTTTATAGCGACGCAGTATGCCTTAAACATTTCCCAGACCTATATCACAGGCTGGTATCGAAATATTTGTCCGCTGTGACGGAGCACGCTATTTTTCATAAAAACATTAAGAATACTTCACGATTTATTTTTTAACGCATATGTTTCGTTATACCATACAAAATTACTTACTCCATGCAATGGATGTATCATTTGCGGGTAACTTTCACTTCTGTTTGAAGTCCAATTACGCTGGGAAGAAAAGCTATTGAAAATGGCACCGGGGTATCATACTTCAAAATGTACCATTTCTTGTTTAACTTTCTAATGGCACGATAAAGTGACACGATAATATTTACACATGGTTTCAGCATAACTATGAAGGTATAAATGAGATGTTGATGTATTTGGTCTTTTTAATTCTTTTATAAAAAATAATGTTTAATTTCTTTGTCCGCTGTGACGGAGCAGTTGCAAATATGAACTGTGAAAATGCTCCGTCACAGCGGACAAAAAATATTAATATTATTTTTTATAAAATAATTAAAAAGACCCAATGCATTAATATCTCATTAATACATTCAGAGTTATGCTGAAAACATATGTTAATATTATCGTGTCACTATATCATGCCATTAAAAAGTTAAAAAATAAATGGTACATTTTAGAGTTTGATACTCTGGCGCCGTTTTCAATAGATTTTACTCCTAGCGTTATTGGACTTCAAACAGAAGTGAAGGTTACACGCAAATGATATATCCATTGCATGGAGTAAGTAATTATCTTTGATATAACGAGACATATGAGTTAAAAATAAATCGTGAAGTTTTTATGAAAAATAGTATGCTCCGTCACAGCGGACAAATCTTTCGATACCAGCCTGTGTATATGTTTTGAGACTATCCTTTTAATACTGCGTCCCCAGCATTCATAAAAAATGGTGTTCAAGATACACTACCCATGCAAATTATTTTTGCATCTTGGAAGCCAGGCAGTATCTGTGTGATTTTATAAAAATTCGGAAATGTTCTTCAGATATGAGCCCCCTCTAAATATTGGATGCGGAGGTACGTTTATGGAGCTCCTCCGCACCCAATATTTAGAGGGGGCTCATATCTGAAAAACATTTCCGAATTTTTATAAAATCACACAGATACTGCCTGGCTTTCAAGATGCAAAAATAATTTGTATAGATGTGTACCTTGAACACCATTTTTTATGCATGCTGGGGACTCAGTATTAAAAGGATAATTTCAAAATATATAGGTCTGGGAAAGGTTTAAGGCACACTGCGTCGCTATAGAATGAATTAAGCTACTATTTTCACAATGAATTGTATTGATATTTGGTGTCAAATACACATATCTTGGTATATTTGAAGTCCCAAAACGGCTTAGTTTCAGAAATATCCCAAATTTAAATTCAAAAATGACCGTTAGCTCCGCACCCCCCCCCCGCTCATTTGCTCCGAACCCAATATTTCCCACAGGCTCTGTCTGCATAGGGTGAGGTATGAACACATCATACCTTGGAAATCCAAGATGGGAAAAGTCAGAGCGATCCGTATTGGTATTACGCTTCAAAATAGTTTGATTTTTAATAAATGTTGGAGATAAATCTTTGTTCTTGCCTAATCAGAATAGCCTAGGAAGTCAAACACTGCACTACATATTCTGCCTTATAGGTAGCTAAATTTACATTTTAAATAGACTCTGATTTGCTGAGACCACATATCTTATTTACATCAAACTCATCAGTTATAGTAAGAGGGAAGACTAACTAGCCAGTAATGATTCAGACCCGGGGATTCAGAGTATTTATATTATTGTATATATATGTAGCCATGTCGTAATACTCATTAGTATCATAAAACGGATTGCCATCATCTTGATTTTAAAGATGTACACTGGTAATGTCGGTTCTAAGTTATCATGATAAGTGTCATCGTAACTACTCGGGGTGGAAAATTTTCTAAGAGGCTCCGTTAAGGAAAAAATGACTTTATGAGCTGGATGGAATTTCTGTGTATTTTTTATTCTATTAGGGTGTCCTGCATAAGGGATTTCGCCTGCGAAGCATATAACTCTTGCGAACATATCTAAATACTGGTCCGAAGAAGACATACCTTGAATTTTTTAGAAAAAAATTGGCTAAAAATGGAAACTACAAGAAATCAAAATGTTCAACTCAAACAAAGTTGTAGCTATTCTATATCAATATTTTGTGTTATGTAAGGTTTCTCAGATGTTTCAAGACCTTCATTAGTATACTTGTGTCTAGAAATGTGACATTTAAGGACAAAATTTGGCATTTTTAATCATTTTCGCTTTCAGCATTAACATATAGTTCCTTATATCTCGAGTTTAATGCTGACTGGTTGGTGCATTTTTGATTAAATCTGTGCTTGTACATGTGTTCTTCCATTTAAGGTATAGAAAATGTATAGTGGACAACCAATGTTCGTATGAGAGCTTTCAGATCTCCCCTACCCCATTTATTATGGAAAATTCCAGAAAAATATGAAAAAATAAAATAACTTGAAATTATAAACTTTAACAAAGTTGTAGCTATTCTATGTCAATATTATGTGTTATTTAATGTTTTTAAGATTTTTCAGAATTTTTGTTGGTATTCAAGTGGCTAGAAATGAGACATTTAAGGACAAAACTTGGCATTTTTTTATCATTTTCACTTTCAGCAGTAATATATAGTTCCTCATATCTTGAGTTTTATGCTGTCTGATTGTTGCATTTTCAATCAAATCTGTTCTTGTGCATGTCTTCTTCCATTTAAGGTATAAAAAATGTATAGTAGACAAACAATGTTCAAATTAGAGCTTTCAGATCTCCCCTACCCCATCAATTATTGAAAATAAACGAGAAATATGAAAAAATAAAATAACTTAAAATTATAGACTTTCATAAAGTTGTAGCTATTCTATATCAATATTATGTGTTATTTAATGTTTTTAAGATTTTTCAGAACTTTTATTGGTATTCAAGTGGCTAGAAATGAGACATTTAAGGACAAAACTTGGCATTTTTTAATCAATGCTGCTTTCAGCAGTAACATACAGATCCTCATATCTTGAGTTTTATGCTGACTGGTTGATGCATTTTTGATTAAATCTGTTCTTGTACATGTCTTATTCCATTTAAGGTACTGAAAATGTATAGTGGACAAACAATGTTCATATTAGAGCTTCCAAATCTCCCCTACCCCATTTATTAGGGAAGATGACTGGAAAATATAAAAAATAACTTCAAACTACCAGTATAAACTTTAACAAGGATGTAGCTATTTTTTATGTCTTATTGATTGCTATAATTAATGTTTCAGGACCTTCATTAGTATACGAGTACCCTTTGCATTCGTTTGACTTCACTTCTTAAAAGAGAGCTTCGTCTTTGTCTTCGTAGTTTAACTAGACTCTGCACGCAGGGTAGTATACTAGTGTCGAGAAATGCATTTAAGAACAAAATTTGGCATTTTTCATCAATTTTTCATCATTTTCACTTTTAGCAATAACATATAGTTCCTTATATCTTGAGTTTTATGCTGATTGGTTGATGGATTCTTGATCAAATCTGTTCTTTTGCCTGCCTACTTTGATTTAAGGTATTTAAAAATGTATATTGGAAAGCCTGTCATTATATTAGAGCTTACATATCTCCCCTACCCCATTTATTGTGAAAAAATAACCAGAAATATTAAGACCAAACAATTTCAAAGTATAGACTTTAACAAAGTTGTCGCTATTCTAGATCAACTATTTATTGTTTGATGTTTTTGAGATGTTTCAGGAACTTCATGAGTATACAAGTCTAAAAATTAGACACTTAAAGTTGAGTTGCAATTGGGGCGGGTATTCTCTATCTTTTTCCATTGGGCTTTTCTGGTAATGATACGTTCCAAACTGCTCATGAATCGATGCAATGTATAGTACAACACTTGGAATATATTTAAAAGTAATGGGTTCATGAGTATACAAGTCTAAAAATTAGACATTTAAAGTTGAGTTGCAATTGGGGCGGGTATTCTCTATCTTTTTCCATTGGGCTTTTCTGGTAATGATACGTTGCAAACTGCTCATGAATCGATGCAATGTATAGTACAACACTTGGAATATATTTCAAAGTAATGGGGTATAGTACTGTGATAATTATAACCAGTGATCAAGCCATATTCACTGCTACCCACCTAATTACACAGATGTATCTTCGGTGTATCATGGCGGAACTTCCTCCGGGACTAGGTTTCGGTAAGATTTTTTTATTTCCCGATTTACACCTACTTATAAGTCACGTTGTGGATAATAATTTGGCTCGAA